AGTGCTTCCCAATGCTCAGAATTTGCTTGCTATTCGTGTTTATCCCCCGGATAATCCAGGGACTATTCCTCCTGAGGGAGGGCAGGGTGGCGATCACGAGGTACAGATCGATATCCAAGAACCCTATTTTAATACATTCTATTTCTTCTAGATATCTGATCAAAGTTTTATCATTGTACTAATTACTGATGCAAGAGCGAGCGATGATGAATCTGCAGAAGCTGATTATCTAATGTAGGCAATGTGCGTTATTATAATCCAATTCTTATTTCAGATAGGGAAAGATGTAGCTGCACAATATGTGGAGGGTTGGGATTGGATGTGTCCTATAAGGTGACGATGTTTTACTGTTTTGTGATCATGAATTGTTTTTCATCATCTTTTTAATATGGGATGCGAGAAAACGTTTAAGCATGTTTCTTTTTTCGGTTGAAGATTTTTCCACCTGTTTAAAGCTAAATGATACAAGAAGTATCCTATATTGTTTACTCAGAAAAACCAATGCATCCTCTGGTGTACCTTTTCCTAATCCTATAGATATTATCATTGCAAAATAATTTTTAGTTGTAACCCACTTATATAACGTTGCAGGGATAGAAACACGGGCATATGGGACGAGGTGTCAATTTCTGTAACAGGGGTGAGTTTTATTCATAATGATTCACTTCCTACCATAGAATTTTTAATGAGATTAACTGTCCTTTGTGATGATATGTCAAAATCCATTTCGTAGGGAAGGATAACAGTTTTATCTTTATGGTTTGATCATATGCGAAGTTGTTGGTCTCATTGTACTTCTTTGGCTTTGTGATCTACAGTTTACCGAGCATCTAAAATTCCTGAAATTTCCAAACAGAATCAGATTACAATCTCTCTATAAGTGATGCATTCATGATGAGATCAATAGTGATTTCTTATAATTTCATAATCATATTATTCTGCACAGACAATGTATTTGGTCATGCAATTTCGTCTTCAGATACCAATTTTCAGTTACAGTTATTTGTATAAGACTATAAGTTCTTTTTTTTCTTTCTTGTTATCTTTTTTGTGCAGCCAGTAAAAATAATTGATCCGCACTTGGTTTCATCGTTTTTTGACAACTACAAGAGGTTGTATTTGCATGCTACAACTGAGTTGGAAAATAGAAGTGCCTCGGTTGTTGAGTGTTCTTTGAATATCCAAGTAACAACAGAACTTGAAGGAAACGTTTGCTTAGTAGAGCATCTTCAGACTCAACATTTGTCAATCCCTGCTGGATCACGGGTGAAATATACATTTCCTGAGGTCCGTGAAAGAATATATGATGCATTTTCATTATCTTAGTAGAACACAACACTTTTCTAGTATCACTTTGGTGTTTATCTTTCATTCAATTTGGTCTATCTATTTAGATTTAGCTTTCAAGACCTGTATTCTAATTTCTAAATAGTATAATTTAACAGCTCTTCTTCTACAAGCCGAATTTATGGTGGCCAAATGGTATGGGAAAGCAATCCTTGTACAATGTTGACATTACTGTTGATGTGAAGGGATACGGAGAATCTGATTTGTGGAACCAATTATTTGGATTCCGCAAAATTGAGAGCCACATTGATACTGCCACTGGTGGGAGGTATTCGATTTATTGTATCATTATTTCTGTAATGTTGGTTACATGTAGTGCTTGAACATGTCAACTCTTTTTCTGGTGTTTATGTTCTGTTACCTGTATAATCTGCTCTTCAGGTTGTTCAAGGTCAATGGTCAGCCTATTTTTATTCGTGGTGGTAATTGGACAGTGTCAGATGGCCTCCTTCGACTTTCAAAAGAGCGCTACAGAACAGCCATCAAGTTTCATGCTGATATGAATTTGAACATGCTACGCTGTTGGGGCGGTGGAGTGGCTGAGAGGCCAGAATTTTATCATTACTGTGATATTTATGGTCTGCTGGTAAGCATACCTCTCTATCTATGTTTTCGCTTCAGCTTTGCATATTTCGGTAGGTTTTATCGAGGAACACGGGCTAAGTAGCGCGTGAACCATATGGATGCTGTTTTAAATTTGTAGGTCTGGCAAGAGTTTTGGATTACTGGAGATGTCAACGGACGAGGTAAACCAGTATCAAATCTAAATGGTCCACTGGACCATGATCTTTTCTTGCTATGTGCGAGAGATACTATCAGGCTTCTAAGGAACCATCCAAGTCTTGTCCTTTGGGTGGGTGGAAATGAACAAATTCCACCAGACGATATCAACACAGCTTTGAAACACGACCTCAGGCTCCATCCATATTTCGAAAACTCTTCAAATGAGAGTGGCAAGATTGTTGAAAACTTGTCCCTGACTTCAGAGGATCCAAGCCAATATCTTGATGGTACACGCATTTACATTCAAGGGTCCTTGTGGGATGGATTTGCAAATGGAAAGGGAGGCTTCACCGCTGGCCCTTATGAAATCCAAAATCCCGAAGACTTCTTTAAAGATGGGTTTTACCAATATGGGTTCAATCCTGCAGTTGGTTCTGTAGGCACACCAGTTGCAGCTACCATCAGAGCGGCAATGCCTCCAGAAGCATGGCATATTCCGTTGTTTAAGAAGGTTTCAAATGGTTATGAAGAAGTTCCAAACGGCATGTGGGTACATTTTAAGTACAAGCCTTATTCAAATCCAGGCAAGGTTCATGATCAGATTTTGCTTTATGGGTCGCCGAAAGATCTTGATGATTTTTGCTTAAAGGTAAACTAATCTTTTGGTTATTCAGGGTGCACTTTGGACTGATTTTCTGTTGTGACGATTTGGCTTACTTTAAATCATCTCAGGCTCAACTAGCTAACTACATCCAGTATAAAGCTCTATTGGAGGGGTGGACTTCCCGAATGTGGACTAAATACACTGGTGTTTTGATTTGGAAAACACAAAATCCGTGGCCAGGTCTTAGAGGTCAACTTTACGATCACTTTTTGGACCAAACTGCAGGTTTCTATGGCTGTCGCTGTGCTGCTGAGCCAATACATGTCCAGCTTAACTTAGCTACATATTTTATAGAGGTAAGTTGTAGAGTTACACAGTTCAAATGTTATCTCCTTCACGATGTTGAAATCGTTAATATTTTCATGTTGAATGTGAATCTTAGTAGAACTAATGTTCATTGATCCATTTCTGTAACTGGGTGCAATGAACAAACTCTTGAGAAGACTAATTAATGACTTGCAAATACCTGATTTCTTCACAACATACCCAACTTCGGGGACAATTTCCATTTAAGCGAAAGAAAAAGAATGAAAAGTCCTCACAGAAGGAACACCTATCAGTGGAACATAATCTCTTTTACACCGTGCTATTCACAGAGTTTACCATATACATGTTTTAATATCTGCTGATGACTTTCTCTTCTTCCCTTGAACAGGTTGTCAACACTACATCAGAGGAGCTATCCGACATCGCTATAGAAGCCTTGGTGTGGGATCTAGAAGGAACATGCCCATACTACAAAGTTCACGAAAAGGTGTCAATGCCACCGAAAAGAACAGTACCGATTGCTGAGATGAAATATCCAAAATCTAAAAACCCAAGGCCGGTTTACTTTCTTCTTCTCAAGCTGTATCACAAGTCAGATTATCGCATTATTTCCAGGAACTTTTACTGGTTGCATCTGTCTGGTGGGGATTACAAACTGTTAGAACCATATAGGAAGAAGACAGTACCACTCAAGGTTACATCTCAGGTTTTCATCAAAGGAACCACCTACGAAATGCATATGCACGTGAAGAACACATCTAAGAAACCAGAGCCAAAAAGTTTGACCTTTCAAAACAATTTCACTACTAATCAAGGTGATGGCAATTTCGATGTAGCGTTGGTGAAAGCTACACATGATGGAGCAGACAGAAAACTTGAAGTTGGCTGGTTTCATAAAATATCCAGACATTTCACAAAGGAGACTGATGGTTTGAGGGTTGCTGAAATCAACGGCGCCAACATAGGCGTTGCTTTCTTCCTTCATTTTTCTGTACATGGAGTGAAGAAGGACCGTAAGGAAGGAGAAGACACAAGAATCCTTCCGGTTCATTACTCGGACAACTATTTTTCACTGGTGCCAGGTGAGGCTATGTCGATAAAGATCTCCTTCGAGGTCCCTCCCGGTGTCATCCCTCGAGTTACTCTCGACGGATGGAATTACCATGGTGTCCATACAGTCCATTCATTTGGTTAAAGATTGCTTTCCTTTGTCAATCAGTCTTTGCTGTTTGTAATAGTTCGCACCAAAGTTCTTGCTCCCCTAGCAGAAGACCAACAAGGTGTCATGCTCCAACTTCCACATGTTACATTATTTGTCTTGTTTATCCTTTCTTTGTTTCTACAAAGATTTTACGTCAACCTCCTCGAATGATGGTTGGAATAAAATCAAAGATATAAGTTGAGAATATTTTTTTCTTCAGCAACAAGGAGCTTGTAATTCACGTGATTAAGAGTACTTAGTTTAATGGTGTTTCTTGTAATTCACGTGATTAAGAGTACTTAGTTTAATGGTGTTTCTTTCTCAATATTAGAGGAGGTACCAAGATTGAATCGCCTTGAAATAGAAAAAAAAGAAGCATGAGATTCAACTTCAAAGAGCTTATAATTCACATGATAGCATTTATTCAGATCGTCAAATTCTTAATCTAGCAACATTTCTCTTCTCAATATTAGAAGAATACTACATTCAAATTACCTATTCTCATTAATAAAGAAAAATACTATGCCTGAAATTCAACTGCAAGGAGCGTATCACTTAACTAAATACAGTTTAATTTAGTATTATTTATCTTCTCAATATCACTCGTATAAAATTCTTAACCCGAAGTATTGAGTTTGAGGAAGAGATCCGAGAATCTCTTCCACCAAGATCACCGGATTAAGTGATCTAGACTTTTGAAATTTCATCTAACGGGCCACCTATTTTGATTCGTTAAAAACTATAATAATTTTTGACCATTTGATGAAATTTCGAAAGTCTGGAGTATCTCTTTCCTTGATATCGAACCCGTTCTCGCGTATAAAAATCCTGAGTGCCAGCATCCGGAAACCTCAACTGTCAGTACTTGGTCTCTGTGTCCCATTTTTCATGGATGAAATCCTGGTGGGTCTTTCAGCTACAGAACCTCAGCTCCCACCACTTCCCCTCCTGCGCTTCCTCTCTAATCTCCGCCTTCAAAACCAAGCTCCACCGGAACCCGGATTCACAAACAACGGCAACATTGGTCCTCAACAATGTCGACATAAGCCTGCTCCTCTCTCTTTGTGGAAAAGATCGCAACTTTCAGCTGGGTTCTTCCCTCCACGCCTCTCTCATCAAGAACCCTGAATTCTTTCACCCTGAGAATCACGATGATCACCGCAATGCCCTTGTTGTTTGGAATTCTTTGCTATCAATGTACTTAAAATGTGGTAAATTACGGAATGCAGTCCAACTGTTTGATGATATGCGCGTGAGAGATACGGTCTCTTGGAATACGATGATATCTGGGTTTTTGAGGAATGGGGAGCTGGATTATGGTTTTGGCTACTTCAAGCAAATGTGTGGATTGGGTTGTTATCGATTTGATAAAGCGACTTTGACTTCAATCTTAGCAGCTTTTGATGGGCCGGAGTTTTGTCACTTGAATAAGATGATGCATGGTTTGGTGGTTTTGAACGGATTTGAGCGGGAAACTGCTGTGGGGAATGCTTTGATCACATCGTATTGTAAATGTGGGTGTTTTCTGTCCGGAAGACGGGTGTTTGATGAGATGTTTGAGAGGAATGTGATTACATGGACTGCGATGATTTCGGGCCTTGCACAGAATGAATACTATGTTGAAAGTTTGGAGTTGTTTTTGGAGATGCGTGGTGGAGTGGTGGATCCAAATTCTATGACTTATTTGGGATTACTCATGGCATGTTCTGGTTTGCAGGCAATAAGTGTAGGGCGGCAAATTCATGGACTTGCATGGAAATTGGGAATTCAATCCGAGTTGTGCATTGAGAGTGCACTAATGGACATGTATTCAAAATGTGGTAGTGTGGAAGATGCGTGGAAAATTTTTGAATCCACGGAAGAACTTGATGAGATTTCTATGACTGTTATCCTGGTGGGATTTGCACAAAATGGGTTTGAGGATGAAGCAATCCATATTTTTGTGAAAATGATAAAGGCAGGAATTGACATTGACCCAAACATGGTTTCAGCAGTTCTTGGCGTATTTGGTGTTGATACTTCTTTAGGTCTAGGGAAGCAGCTCCACTCTTTAATTGTCAAGAAGAATTTTGGTTCAAACTCTTTTGTCGGCAATGGGCTTATAAATATGTACTCCAAGTGTGGAGAGTTGGAGGATTCAGTCAAAGTGTTCAGTCGGATGCCTCAAAGGAACTCAATTTCTTGGAATTCCATGATTGCAGCTTTTGCCCGTCATGGAGATGGCTCAAAAGCATTACAGTTGTATGAAAAGATGAATATGGAAGGTGTACAACCAACAGATGTTACATTTCTGTCTCTGCTTCATGCTTGTAGCCATGTTGGTTTCGTTGAAAGGGGCATGGAGTTCCTGAAATCCATGAATGAAGATCATGGGATGAGTCCGAGGCCAGAACACTATGCTTGTGTTGTCGACATGTTAGGTCGGGCAGGACATCTCACTGAGGCCAAAAGTTTTATTGAAAAGCTGCCAGAGAATCCTGGTGTACTTGTTTGGCAAGCATTGCTTGGTGCTTGTTGCATTCACGGCGATTCAGAGATTGGCAAATATGCTGCGGACCAGTTGTTATTGGCAGCACCTGAGACACCAGCACCATATGTTTTGCTTGCCAATATATATTCTTCTGAAGGAAGGTGGAAAGAGAGAGCAAGGACTATTAAGGGGATGAAGGAGATGGGGGTGACAAAAGAAACGGGTATTAGTTGGATCGAGATTGAAAAGAAAGTTCAGAGCTTTGTTGTTGGGGATAGGATGCATCCACAAGCAGAGCCCATTTATAGGGTTTTAGGCGAACTGTTTAGACTGATGACAGATGAAGGGTATGTACCAGATGAAAGGTTTATACTGTACTATTTGGATCAAGATGAAAAGATATGAGAGCCGATTCTTTGTTACATTCTTAACGAAATGAAGACATATAAGAATGATTTAGGTTTGTCATTCCTTTATTATACGAATTTTCTATGTTTAATCTATCCTTATAAAGTCAAACTTTTGAATTTTTTCACGCTGGGTTTTTTATTTCTCATCCAGAATATTTTCTCTCAGCGGCTGGATAAAATTAAAAGAACCTTGTCGAAATGTGGGATTGCAGACCTATCATAATATTTCGTAGACAACGAAAGAGAAACCTATTTGCATAAGGTATAATGAATTATTATCTTTTACATTTACATTGAGCAGTTAAGATCTGTTATTTTGGGTGTCAAGATATTTGCTTCTTTATGGACAACTGGAGATTTGAGTTTGCCAAGTCAGTATCAAATGCAAAAGCCACCATGAATTAGTAATCTTCATTTATGGAATTGACAACTTGATTGTTTTAGTACCTGGGGCCGCATGATTAAATCCTAATCTAGTAGTTAATTGAATGAGGGGTTGATACCTGCAGCAATTAGTAACTAAACTGCATTACATGAGATTGCACTGATTGATATTTGATTAAGTGGAGAAATGCCTTCAGAGCTGGGTGCCAAACTCCAGAACTTGCAGAAGTTGTACCTGATCAATAACATGCTTTCTGGTAGGATTCCAGTGACCCTCTCCAATCTCTCTCAGCTGACAGTATGAACAAATTAGAGGGGGAAGTTCCTGCAGAGTTGGGAATGCTACAGAACCTTGAGATTCTCTACTGCCATATCAATGCCTTAGGTGGTGGCGGCAGATCTGGTAATTCTTCCCTTGGTTTCTTAACAGCTCTCACAAACTGCATTTTGCTTCATGTTTGTTGGAGAAGAAATGTACCATCTTCTGTCGGCGGTCTTTCAAAGACCTCTTTTACGTCAATCTTCTGGATAACGACATTACTGGAAGTATACCAGATAGTGTTGGAGACTTAAGCAGATTAGTAAGTTTATGTATGTCAATCAACTAGTTGGAAGGAAAAATTCCAGCATCTATGGGGAAGCTTGGGAATTTGCAGAGGTTATACTTCTACAAAAACAGAATTCTTGGATCAATTCCAGATGACATGGGGAAGATGTCTAGCCTTTGTGTACTGGATCTTGGAAAAAAAATTGATTGGCGGGTCTTTTCCACCTTCACTTGGTAATCTCTTACAGCTGAGATATCTTAACCTGTCTGAAAACCACCTATCCGGTAAATTTCCCGTCAACCTTACTGTTCTCTGATGGTGCTTCTTAATTTATCTGTCAACAGCTTGCAAGGTTCTATTCCTGTACTGCTTGGCCTTCTTTCAAGATTAGACTTCTCAATTAACCTTCCAAACAGTCATTTCGAAGGTCAACTACCAGCAAGCATTGGAAAGTTGGTGTCCCTGCAAGCAATCGACTTCTCGAAGAATAAGTTGGACTCATAAGATATTCTTGGAGAAGTCAATTGTTGGACTCGTAGGATATTCTTGGAACACTCTCTTATCCTTGATTTTATTGGCAACAGGAACCTGGGAGAGCATCTCTATCCTGGTGGACTAGAGGAAGGAGCTTGTAAATTAACTTTGAACGAAAAAATTTCAATAGCTACAGGTATTGCCAATCGCTTTGAGTATCTATAAGAAGGCTGTCCAGTCCAAGTGATACATTGTGATCTAAAACTGGAAAACGTGCTTCTCAGCACTGATATGGTGGCTCATGTAGCAGATATTGGGAATGGAAAGCTCATTTCAACTGACCAACCGAAAGAACATGTCAACAACGGGCTCTCTACACGGATCAATTGGTTATATCCCACCAGGTATGCATATCACATTGATTTTTTATACTCTTCGATTGAGAGAAATTGCTTCTGATTGAGTTAACCATCTTTATAAATTGCTTGTGAAACAGAATATGGACAGGGAATTGAGGTATCTGCTAAAAGGCATGTGCATTGCTTTGGTGTGATTCTGCTTGAGATGATGACAAAAGACCAACAAGCAATTTGTTTTTTGGGTGAGGTTGATTTAAGGAAGTGAGTGAGTTCTGCATTTCCAGGCCGGATTTTGGATGTTGTTGACACCACACTGAAGCTGGAGGCATACTCACGAGGCACGCCTGGTGCTTTAGCAGAGCTCAAACTATGCAGCATTCAAAGGCTTGATATAGGGATGATGTGCACAGAGGAGAGTCCACACAACGACCCTCGATGTCCTCGGTTGTGTCAATGTTGAAAACAAATGTCTGGAAATAAGAGGAATTTGAAGCTCCAACTTCAAGTGCGGCTGGAAGATGATATATAGTAGAACTTCAATTTTTACAAGTTGTTCTTTCTTTCCACCTTTTGCTTGTGTGTGAAGTTGGGCGGCATATGAGAGTCCTTTTATAGTGTATGTAATTCTCTTAATGGAAACATCTTGATCAAAAGAATGCATATGTAAACTAGTTTCTCAATGTGATCAGTAAATGTGGTACAAATAACATTGTTGTATTATATATGAAAAAAGCGTATGACTGGTTTAGCTGTCTATGTCTAGTATTATAATGGCCATGTCTAGTCTAGAATTATTTTTTCACAAAAAAACTTGTTACTCAAATGGTTAAGAGTGTTATCCTGGCCATTGAGGTCAGTGTTCTAAACCCCCTTCCCACAATGTCACTACACTAAAAGGTACATGCATGACTATTACTAATATTAATAATCTATTTCTCTTATAATTATACCAACATGCCGGAAAATTTGAGTTTAATTCTTATAAATGAAAATCAAATTCATAATACAGCATGATTCTTATATATGGAATCAAACCCATGCAAATCACCGTGAAAGGCCTACATATCAATTAATTAGCAGAACATCTCCAACGGGCTCCCTAAATGTGCTTCTAGCCAAAATATAGGGAGAAGTTGGAATTTTATAGGGAGATTTTTTATTTATTTTTTTATTTTTTGGGGAAGAGAATTTTACAAGGAGCTCCAAAAATAATTTTTAGTAAAAATTCGACTTAAATTAGAGAGTACGATTGGATACGCTGTTAATTAACTTTAATATATTCAAGGATGGGCCCATCCAACTGAAACGCAGCGTTTGGCCCTTCTACTAACATTAAATAATGGAGTAGCAGTGCTTTATTGAAGTGAAGAGAGCGAAAATGGAAGGTTTATCAGTGTGCGGTTGGAAGATACCGCCGGTTCTACCATTTCAAAAAGCCGTTAAAACTCGTAACCGCCAGAAATTCACAGTGAAGAACTGCAGAGAGGATGCTCCTCCTCTCTCCGCCACTTCCACCGCTTGCACTATCCTCGGTGTCCAGCCTTCCTGCTCCGCCGCCGAGCTCAAAGCCGCCTTCCGCGCCAAAGTATTTGTCCCATCAGATTCTTCTCTTCCTGTTTCTTCAATTAAAACATAATTTTAATTTAAAAATTATTATTGTGATAAAATAGGTGAAGCAGTTTCATCCAGATGTAAATAGGGACGGGAAAGATGCTGATATGATGATTCGCCGTGTAATTCAGGCCTATGAGGTAATTCTTTTATCTTAAAAAATGCCACTTTTATTTATAATTTCTGTTTCCGTAATATTTTTCAAACTGTTTCTAGCCAAAACGGTGTCTGACATTGATATAACTTCTTATGTTAGTCCTGTCAATGAAAATCGATAGAAGTGGTTTTTGAGTTTATTTACTGTGAATCATTTCATCATTTCGTGAAAAATCTGTTAATATCACATAAGGACCGAAATTACAGAACTTTCGAGGATATTGACAAATTTTTCACGAAATGGTCAATATGATTACACTGGACAAACTCATGGACCACTTGCATCGGTTTTCATTATAAGAGACCAAAATGAAGAATTATGTTATTCGCATGGATCATTTTAGATAAAAACCTTTTTCAAATAAAAAAGATTTTTTTTTTTTTTTTTTTTTTTTTTGCTAGCAATGAAAATTGGTGATCATTGCGGTTAATAAAATATGTGCAGATGTTATCGAGTTACAGCCGATCGGAGATAATCGAAAGGTAAACTTTGTGTTTAGTTTTTGTGATTTGCTTATGCATATGTGTCAGACTGTAATTTGCACGTACGAAGGATGATTGAGTTGTTATAGCTCGCTAAGCTCACTATTTCTGCTTGGCTTTGTAGGGAATGTGTAGATCCCTTTGATAATCCAGAATGTGAAGCGTTTGATGTTTTTGTTAACGAGGTTCTTTGTGTGGGAAAAGGTACTAAATTAAGCTGTACTTGTTCTTACAAATGACATTATAACAAAACTCATCTTGTTAAGAGACGAATTCAAGATCTCCCGCTTACTAGACGGATGCTCTAACGAACTTAGCTACGAGAGAACATGAGTCGAACTTTTTCTGTTTTTAAAACAATCTGCAGGTTGTCCATATTCTTGTGTACAAAGAGCCCCTCATGCCTTCACTTATGCTGCAACTGGGACTGCAAGAGCTACATCTCATGGTTCGTTTCCTTCGTTTTGTTTCGTCTTTGTTGGTACATTTTCGGATTAAAACCCGGTTTTGATTAATGTTTGTAGGATTTGGGGATGATTACCAAGTTCAGCTTGCAGTTGGTCAGTGCCCGAGAAGTTGCATTCATTATGTTACTCCATCACAGAGAATTATTTTGGAGGAGTTACTTGACAGGTGGTTAATTTACTATTTACCTTGTCATACTTTATCTTTATCAGGGCTCGTTGGGATGTGCTACTAAAGCCTTTTTACTCATTAGCGCTTTTACGAGGAAGCAGTTTGTTGTCCTTCGTTAACTTTTCCTTTGTGTGGTTGATCTTGATTTTGCAGTATCATCAACACACCGTATGATAGTTCGCCAGAGGCAGATTTGCTCTACTCGCTTACAGTCAAAGCCATGTTTGAGAACAACCGGTATCAGAAACCGAAGAAGCAGCCAAAAGCTTCGACACAGCATGTTGATTGGTTTTGATTTGTGGAATCAATGCCACTGTATAGGAGGAAGAAACTGAGAGCAGAAATGTCGATTAGGGTTGCCTGTAAATTACATCGTTAAAGCTACTGTACTCGAGAATATCTATGCCAGAACTCGGTTTCAGTAATACGAAAATGTGAAGTTTTCTGTCTTTCATTTGTTTCGACGGAAAATATCAGATGTAAAGCAAACACTACTTCAGTTTGTGCAGCGAAATATAATACAATCGCGTTACAGTGAAGGAGATAGATCGTTGCAGACTATAATTCTATCTTGAAATGACCCTCATAAATCGATTTAGCGAAGAGAACATCCCTGCAGCTTGATCAAACAAAGATTGGCCCTTCTCTGAGCTCTCGTCTACATTTCCGAATATCATCTGCAAAAGATGAAATCGCATTCGTTTACCTTGTTAATACATTGTGTGTTCATTTGTTCAAGTCAAGGAGTTAGCATCAACTACCAACCTCAAGTTCTTCAGCATCGGGGCGCTGAATGAGCTCTTTCGCGAGCAGGTATCTGTTCGGTCTATCCTTGTCATCGTAGAACACCTTCCATAGCCTGGTAAATGAGCAGGGGAACAAGACCTTAGCTGCAGAAACCGTAGACCAAAGGGGCCAATCTAAATATTAAGAATTTGATGCAATATTCACATCTCTTACCCTGGATAACACCTAAATACAGCACCAGATTCCATTGGCCTCATTGAGTAGACCGTCGTAAAAGTTCTGCAGACCACAAATACAGAAGGTAGCAGGACACAACAAGGCGGTTAACTGTCTAACAACTGATCGTCGATAACCCAAAATAAGTAAAGATGCCAAATATATTCATCCAACCAACAGTTTTAGGGGGTCTCTTAAAAATTAATACCTGAGAAAGTACTGCCTTAACTGTCGAACATTGAATCCAACTCCTACATCCTCGCTGATGAGACGGGGGTTCCACATGATGAGAGGCCTTGGCTGCCAATTCACAAGAAAATGAGGAAAACTGCTTTGAGATGTACTTTGAAAAAAACCAAATGACCCGAAAAATAACATGTCTCTACACCGCATGGAGTCTATATCAGGTAAATTTAACTTCAGAAATAAGAAGAATCACTAGCTTACCGGGTCATCTGAGAGAGTAGCTGCAAGTTTCTCGACGTATCCCAACATCTGGTAATCAGGAACAACCATAACCACAATCTCATCTTCACTCGTTATAGGCTTTCGGTCACTTAAGCTGAATGCAAGGCGACAGAAGATTGTATAATGAGGCGCGAAATCTAACATACGAGCACAGCTCAAAAAGAAATTCGAATAGATTCAAATGATGGGTGCAACCTACTAAACTACAATACTAAACCATATTAATTATGCTCATGTCTCAGATTTGGGACTCAACTGGAAGAACACAATAAACTGATGGCAGGCAACCATGGCTAGTAAATACATGGCACCATTAAGTCCCATATTCAACTGAAGAGAACCGCTCATATTATAAATCACCTGGCGAATCCAAAAGCAGCATCTTTCCAACGGTATTTTAGAAGCGCTGCCGCACCAGCATCAGGAAACACAGCTTTAACTCTCTGGCAATCAAATTAGCACTTCTCAGCTGAAATTATCTATAGGTTGAAGCCAATGGCAGTTAGCAACAGAAACATTTTCAACTAACCTGACCGCCGGTTTCTTCGATCAGCGTATCTAAGAAAACCCTGGACAATTCCCAGAGCTCAGCTTGTGCACCTTCTTCGTCTAGAAATTGCAGCTGAGGGATCAAAAGCTCAACCTGTGAAAACATAACGAATTTACAAATCAAACTTGGCAGACTGGCAACTAAAACGGGTAATGTGCTCGCCATTTTTCACCAGCCAGCACAAAATTAAGCACATATTCTACAACATAATCAAAGTTTTATACCTCAGATTAGCTAGATAGTTCGTTACGCTGTTTGACTAATACATGTTATTTTCTAATAAAGCTTTGTTTAATGCTCAAAACTGCATTACAAGAAGATTAAACCTTTATCGACAAGATTATATTTTTTTTGTTAGAGCACGTACTATGGCTCTCATTCCTCCTGAAGACACAAAATCTGCACTTGCTACACCTGATTGACGCACTGCACCCTCCAAGTCAGAAGGCAAGCAGCTGAAACGCACCAAGACAATCACATCAATCCAAATTAATCAACTTATGGATCGAAAATTAACGGCTTAACGATTTGTTAATTAAGATATTAGAGAGATGGACAAACGCCACAACAACTAATCAGTCCAACAACTTTACCCAATTAACAATTGAATGATTCATTTGTTAAGACTAATTCCCATATCACAAACTCGAGATATGTGCTCTCCTTATGAATTCAAGTTTGAATTCTCCTTCAACTGTAAATTAGTTTAAAGTAAAATATCGCTCGTATAAAAAGATGAAAAACAATTCACCTGTCATCATCTTCCTGCTCACCATCTTCTTCCTCAAGAGCTTCTAGAGATGGTGGTGGTGTGGCATCTTGAAGAATTTCCTGGGGAGTTCCACCTTGGAACTTATCAAACTTGGCAGATATTCTTGAAGAGGAAGAAGATTTGGTGAGGGAAAGTGCACCGCAGCCATTGAAGATAGAGTGAGAAGAAGATAAGGGCAAATGTGTGGTGGTGGTTGAGTTGGATACTGAAGAAGAAGAAGAGAGGGAGCTGAAGTGAAACAAGCAGTTTGGGGATGTGGAGGAAGCCATCATCAACTCAGCCACTTACACCAATTACTTTGTACAAAAGTTGCAGAGATTTATATTTTTATCAGATATATATTTTTTATTTATTTTGTGATTGACTTGAGGAAGATCTATATAGGAATTAGGAAGAAGACCAATCAAAGGCCAACTATACCTTTTTACTATATGTTTTAGAATAATTACAAAATGCACCATTGAAGTTTTGGTAATAGTTTTCTATAAGACGTATTTGTGTATTTACTTTTCGAATTTTTATAGAGCTGTCAATTCCTTCTGAATTATAATTTTAGTCGATTACCTTCTATATTTTTATAGCTAGCCAATTTTTGTATAAACTTTGATTTTATCAGATTATTTCCTTGAATTTTTATAAATAGTTAATTTCTTCTTTGGCGTTAGATAACGTGAAAAAAATTGAAATGTGTTATTTATCTAGGGATGTGCTATCCACACACCCGATTTTACTTCTCACACACCCCTTGATAATTTCTGTCCGTTGATCTTCTTCAATTCATCCGATCCAACCGCCAAAAATTAAAAAAGTGTGTGAGAAATAAAATAAGATGTGTGGATATCACACTCCTTTGTCTATTGAAAGTTGAACGATTTTGCAGCAATTAGTTATAGTGGTAAACAACGTGAATGTTGCATCCTATTATATATTATAGACGACGTGAAACTAAGCGTCGTTTGCCTTCGCAGTGACTGGGCCTATTGGGCCATTACGAAGTGGTCCAGCGAGAAAATTTTGATAGCCGTTGGAAAGAAAGAGCTCCCACCATTTAAACCAACGGCTAAGATCCCTTCAATTCAAACTTCAACGCAATCAAAACCCTACGCTCACAAATCCCTCCGGCCCTGAAAACAAAACTCAAAACTCTCTCTCTCTCTCTCTCTCTCTCTCTTTCCTTCTCTCTCTCTCTCTCTCTCTAGCTCTCTGAGATCTTTGTCTAACATTCACAACCCTCTCTCTCTCTCTCCCACTCACTCCAGAACTCGGATTCTTGCTCCGATTCGAATCCATGGAAGGTACTCTCTCTCTTCAATTATTTCTTGTTTTTTTATTATTTAATTTCTTGGTAAATCGATGAGCGAACGCTGTATTAATCGCGAATTTTCCTGATTTAATTCAGATCAAACGGTGGAAATGTTCCACGAAAACTGCACCGACGTCTTTCCAGATCACTACTCCAAGCCTTCCGCAACCTCCGAAGCAGGTTTATGATTTGTTTTTTTTTTTATATTTCATTTCCCCCTTTTTTTAATTTTTGAATTACAAGAAAAGTTTGAATTTGAGGTTCGGATTCGACGATTACTGCTTCTTATAGTTTTAATTTTATTTTCCAGTCCAAGAAAATGTAGAATTTGGAGATATTCTGATTTGATTGCATCCCTCTTTTTCTTCAGTTAAAACCCTAGAGACGATAGCAAGCCGGGTGGACAGTGATGTGATCGACAAAGGTGGGTAATTTCTGCAATTCTTGCCCTTTTAATTTTGTAATTTAAATTAGGAATTGTTGCCACTGAACTGTTACATTTTGAAATTCAATCAAGGAGGTTAATTTTAACAAAATGGAAATGTGAATTTTTGAGTGGTGGTTGAAGTCAGGCACTAATTATAACATTATTCAGAATGTACTCCAGATATTGCTACCAAACCCGTCGACGGAGATTCTGATTTGATTGGTGAGAGTAGCGCGTCGAACGGAACAGAAGGTTCTCCATGTCAAAGGTTCCTTCCAGTTTTGCAGAAGATCACTGATTTGACAACCAAAATTCAGGTAATTCTTTAATATAACATTTGTACTTTCTTTTTGTTTTAAATCTTTGAAAAAATTTGCTAAAAGTTTTCGGTTTTGCTCTTATTTTTTAGGATTTGAAGAAAGAGCATACAGTCTTGTCTGATCAAGTCAAGCTCACAACGAATTCCTTTCCGGACCCTTCTGTTCTAAACACCATTCAGCTACTAAGTGAGCCTTTTGTTTTGATCACTCACGATTATTTTCTGACTTTTTTTCTATCTTGGATTGTAATTGGTTGTTTCTGGATCTCTAGGTATGGAACATGAACTTTTAAAGAAGAAGTACCTAGATGAGTCGTCCGAGCGAAAGAGACTTTACAATGAAGTGATTGAGCTTAAAGGCAACATCCGAGTTTTCTGCAGATGTAGACCTTTGAATCAAACTGAAATTTCAAGCGGATCTGGTTCCGTTGTTGAATTCGAATCCTCCCTAGATAACGAGCTGCAGGTCCTTTGTTCTGATTCCTCTAAAAAGCAGTTCAAGTTTGACCATGTCTTCAGACCTGAGGACAACCAAGGTAGTTGAGAACTCTACCAATTTTGTAATTGCACTGTCTAATACTCCACAGTTGATATTGTTACGATGGATAACCTTTAGATAGATTTTGTATCTTTGATGCTGAGCTTTTCAA